GAAAGACAGTTCAAATAACTCAAATGGTATTTCTACTTTGTTTCTTTCATCCCACTAATTCTCAATTCCTTTATCTTCATGTTCTAGCTGGAAATTCAAATGTCATGTTTCACTCACCTGGCTTTCTCCAGGCACATGGAAGTCATTATTCACTTCTTAATTTTATATATGATCTATTTATGTTTCCAAGTGATATTCTTAGTCAAAATAACCTTATTTCACCAAAATTAGCAGTATATGTTAATTGATCCATCACAACTATCTCGTTTCTTTTTACTGTGACAAAAATGATTTTCATAAAGTTCAAATTTAATCACACCACTTTCTTTGTTTAGCAACCATCTAATAAACTAAGAAATATTTTGAGAACATGTATATGTTAACTAATTTAGTATAGATATCTTGATTAAAACCACTTAATGGATATCCATCACCCTTGGAAAAAAAGAGACAGTGGTAATCATAATGGACAAGCCTCCACCAGCCTGTCCTCACACCAGCCTCCTGCCCAACCCTGGGCCAGGGGACCAGGGTTCTATGTTCACCAAGGGTCCCATCCTTAAGCCACCACCACTTGCAACTTTCCTAGTGAGCTCCTGCTCCTCTCCTAAGTGCTAGTTCAACCGCAGACATTTTTCAGCTTTATTCCTGTTAATCAAAGTATTTCTCACAATCAGTTATTTCTTATGATCTTTTTCTCCCACACCCTCTTCCTTAGTTGTCTTTCATGACTGCCCATGACTTATCCCCAGCAAATGGCTTGGTTCAAAACATATAGTCAAACCCTTCACACTACTAATTTCTATTGGTTTATTGAAAGGAACTGTTAATGCTTAATTTTTTCACCAATTTTACAACCTGAACAACTACTTTGAAGATAACAATATATAACAACAATTTTTGAATTCCTGTCATCTTGTTTCTTGAAATGCTGTGTAGCTCCTAATTTTTTATTTTATTCTCTTTAAATAAAAAAGTTTCTGAATAAGCAAATGAGATTTAATAGTATAAAAAAACAATAATCATGGAAGAATATGGCTTAATTTTCCTCTATGTTATATTCCTTACTATCTGAATTTAAATTGTGAGTACCCTAGGGGGAAAATGCTCAAAATGCAGCTACGGTCTTCTGGAATGATTTCAAATAGCATCTCAGATGAGGCTCCAGTCTTTGCTCAAATGGTGGTTACAGCTAAGCATCTTTCATCCCATCAGCTTTTGACTGAACTAGAAGCAGGACCCAAATCCCAAAACTGCCCTAAGTTGTGAAAACTTTTCATTTGTGGTTTTCAAATCTGCAATTCTGTTACACTGTCATTTATATTTGTGTCTTGTCTGGCCAGCTTTCTGGTAGAAAACTGCATGTAAGAGAAGGGATTTGTTGAGTTCCACATCAATACTTGGTACGCGTGAGAAGGACATGGGTGCATGATTATTTCTCCTCAGCACACTCTGCCCACCTCCCTGGGCACCCACTGGCAATGCTCTGCTTCTCTTCTTGATCCATGTGCTTGAGTAATTGCCCTGATAATGCCCCTAATTTTTTATGACAAGAGCTTTGTTTGATTACTCGTTTCCACAGGCAGGAGAGAATCTTACTTCTCCATAATCCCATGAAGCTTCTATAGGTTCCTCAGTGCTTGCTGAGACGTACCCATAATTTCACCATTGGGATCTTCATGGTTGCCTCCTCCACACCTCCTAATGACAACTTTCACTGGTTTCCCATGGCATAGAACTCTGGCTGGAGTCCTGGAATTCTACCTGCTTCTGTTTACAGTCTTGGTAATTGAGAGTTGACATGTGTCTGATACTGCTCTGGCACAGCCGATTTACTACAAAACTCCCTGCTCCTTCTCTGACAGGTGTTGCCCTGCTGTGTGGGACTCTAGCTTAGGTTTCCCTCTACCTGATACCAATACAACTCCCATCATCTTGCCATGAATTCAGCTCCTTGGAATTTTTAAGAATCTCATATTAACAAGCAAGTGCTCCAAGAAGAAAACAGCTCACACCCATTTAAACAAAACTGCATGCCAGACAGGTTCTGGAGGACAGAATAGTCACTGCAAAGTACTCTAGGGTACTGGCAACATGGCCTCTCTACGTGCTCACTGTTACTCAGACCTCTACCTTTAATCTTTGCTATTCTGAGGCCCAGCCAAGGACTTGGGGTTCCTTGACCATAAATTGATATTTTACATTTTTGTAATTGTGGTTATGCTTTTTTTTCTGGAACATTCCTTCCATTTTCTGTAATTGGGTAAATGCTGTCTTTCTTCATTATCATTTCTCTGGAACTCGTTCCAAAAATAGTCCCCTCAAGGAAAAAGTATTTGTTCTTCTGTGTGTTGTTTATGGTACAAGATGACAGTTCATTGTACATGCTTGCTTACTGTTTAGAATGTGAACCCTTGGGGCTGAGGAGATGGCTTAGTGGAATAAGAGCTTCCCTGGCAAGCACAAGGGCCTGAGTTCAATTCCTGATTCCGCAAAAAGAAAAAAAAAAGACTAGAATGTGAACCCTTGGAGAAAAGTGACTATCTGTTATTAATCCTTAAATTTCTAATTATTAAGAGATTTTAATTTTGTTGATTCACCTGATCACATCAAAAAAATTTTCATTACTTCATTTTGCTTAATGCCACATTGAAATTTATAGTGAAAACCTTTTGGAGTTGGCATGATATTTGTATTTTGTACTAGTATAAAGAACGTAGAATAATTCCTGGGTCAGACAAAAAATTTGAGGTAATGACATTGAGATCACTTCCTCTCTGTGACCTACCCTGCATGCATCGTAAATTCCTTCCAGATATCCAGCACAAAACATTCCAAATTTGATGTCGTTGCCATACACAGATGGCTGCTTGCACACATCGCTACTAATGATCTTCACTCTGGCTTCTCGAAGATTGTTTTGGGATTCTCCTTATAGAGAAAAGAAAGAAATTTTAGATTTTTTTCTGTCACCATCCCTAGCTAATGCAAAGCTACGTTTCTTTTTTTCTTTTGCGGGGGAGGTCTTCTTCACCTTAAAAGTGTTAGCTCAGCATAAACAGTTTTAAAGGAGAAAATCTAATTAAAATATGTCACATTTAATGACAATGTCCTATTGTATTTTTATAAATGCTTCTATATGCAGGAAAAATATTTGGTCTCTGCTGTAAAATCTTTGTCTCTTTACTTTAAAAACAGTCAACTCATTGTTATAGGATGACATTTCAATTTTCATGAAGTTTGTACCTCTGGTTTTAGATTGTTCCTATAAACTTTGCATTCTTAGTGTTCTCTCTTGCTTTCATAAAACAATATCATACCATGCCCATTTATTTCATCCTTTACATTTCATAGACAACTGTCAGGTATATAATGGCCATTATTATTATTTAATGGCTTCATCTCTTGCATAAACTTGGGCTTCCAGATTAATGAGGCAGTATTATAACAGGTAGACTCAGTAGAGAACTAAAAATAACACAAACATTCTCAGGTTCTTTATGCCAAACCATACACTGGTGAGGAAACCATTCTGGATGGCAGAATTCCAGGGCATGCCCCAAGATTGGTGTGTGATTCCCATTTCCCCAAGTATAGGTGGGACACTATGACCATGTTGGATATGATACTCCTTCCAAGGTTAAAGTTTATATGGCAAAGGTATGGGAATTTTGCACATGGTTCAACTGATTTTGAATTAATCAACTGGGAGATTATCTGAAGTGGGTTTCCCTAAATTCAAAGATTTTTTTTAATGGCATTTAGGAGGCAAGGTGCCATCAGTCCTACAGCTGTAAGAAATAAAATTCTGGCCAGGTATAGTGGCACAGGCCTATAATCTCAGCATGTGCGAGGCTGAAGCAAGAGGATTGCTGTGAATTCGGGACCAACATGGGTTGCATAGTGAGTTCAAGTCCAGCCCAAATTGCATAGTGAAACCTTGTCTCAAAAAGAAAAGAAAAGAAAAGGAAAAAAAAGGAGAAAGAAGTGTGATTCTAAGGGGCTGGCTTGATAGTTCAGTGGGCTAAAGCGCCTGCTTAGGCAGAGTGCAGTGGCCAAGGTTCAATTCCCCTGCATGTCATGCTGGCCCCACCCACAGAGTGCTCTGAGACAATAACTGAGACTGGGGTTGGTGGTGTGCACCTGTAATCCCAGCGCTTTGGGAGGCTGAAAACAGGAGGATCACTATGAGTCCAATCTACCTAGTGAGACCCTGTAGACCCTGTAGACCCCGTCCTAAATTAAAAAAAAAAAAAGAAAAGAAAATAATGAGATTCTGGCAAAATTTAGTGTGCTTGGAAGATAGTACTGAGCCACAGATGAGTCCACTTTATAGCCAATATCTTGACTGGAGTCTTGCGAGACTCAGAGAAGACGACACACCTAAGCGGGGTCTCAACTTCTGACTCACGGAAAATGTGAGTGCTGTTTTCAGCTGTTAAATTTGGATACTTTCTACAGCATTGAAATAGGAAACTGGCAGGCCATTACAAGAATCTTAAGAAGATGGCTTTGAGATTTATTTCTGCAGAGGTGTTTGCAAATACATTTTTATAAGTGCTGAGGAAATATAAGCACAAACCCCAGAAATTTGCTAAGGGATTTTAAAACTTATTCTGTCCTTGAAATGCACATTTTTTTTTTGCCTAGTACGTCATCAACTTACCAGAACTTAGGAGTCTGAGGCAGGAGGATCATAAATTCAAGGGTAGCCTGGACTACATAGTGAGTTCAAGACTAGCCTGAACTGCTTAGCAATACCATGTCTCAAGCAAAGCAAAGCAAAGCAAAGCAAAGCAAAGCAAAGCAAAGCAAAGCAAAGCAAAGCAAAGCAAAGCAACACACCAAAAAACTCCCAACTCAAAACAAAAAAAAACCAAAAAACCTTCCAAAAAATCATACCCATTGCTTCGGAGGGTAATGTATTAAACATTTTCAGATGATGGTGTGAATTTTTAATTTTTTCAGCAAAAAGGGTGATAAGATACATTCTCAATTAGAAAAAGCAAAACTTACAAATTCTGGATATCCCCAAACTCTTTCTTATATATTGTGAAAATGTTTAATGAAATTTCTTAGAAGTGTTGATTTCATCACAGAATGAGGCTTTAAAATTTTATTTATTGATTGATTTTTTGAAGACAAGATTCTATAGTACAGTTCAGGCTGACTTGAGTTCACTATGTAGCCCAGTCTGATCTCAAACTCACAGTGATCCTCCTGCCTCAGCCTCCTGAGTGTTGGGATTACATGTAGGTGCCACCAGACCCAGCTCCAAGAATAAGCCTTCTATTTATCCATTTTATCTATTTTTTATTTTCAATTTCATTCATTTCTACTTTCATTGTTTCCTTTAAAAAATTTTATTTTGGTACCAAGAATCAAAATCAGGACCTTGCACTTGCTGGGCAGGTGCTGTGCCAATGAACTATATCCATGATCCATTATTTCTTACCATTGCCTGCTTTACTTTTCTTTATTAGTTTTTTGAGCAGTAACTTAGTTAAGAATTTTAGATCTTTCTTCTTTTCTAATGAAGCATTTGCTATTAATTTCTGTCTTTATTTTACTGTACCCTTTACATGAGATTTATTTTTCATTCAGGTCTATGTATATTAATTTTTAAGACTCCCTTTTTGTTTATGGGTGTGTTGTTTAATTTCTAAACATTTGAAGATGTTCTTATCTTTTTGCTACTTATTTCCGGTTTGAATTCAATAAATTTTGTGTGATTTCAGTTCTTTCATGTTGTCAGGGTTTCTTTATAACTGCCCTTGGTCTCCCTTGGGGGATGACCCCAGATACTTACAGTTAATGTCACACTGCTGCTTTGGGTTCCCATGTTCAACAAATGCTAACATTTGACATAGAATGTAAATTCTATTATGAACAAGTTATCATGGCAAGTACATCTCTGTGCAACCTTAAAATACTCTCAGAAAATGATTTTTCCTACCAAGCCAAAGGAAATTTACAATGCTCCTCCCACCACTGCGAAGGCGGACTGTACATCAGTTGCAAGATGAGCCCTTCACTGAAAGTGCACACAGATGAAGGTGTTTGGCCCTATCTACTGTGGCGGAATTGATGTACCGCAGGTAATACTTCGTTGACTAGCAACAGACCTTAAAGAAAGCAGTGCGTGTTCACGCAGGAGAGGCACCCACACCGCGCAGGTATCTGAAGAAAACACAGAGACCATCATGCCTGCTCCTGCCTACGTTAGCGAAAGGACATTCCTGGTTCTTTAGTGGAGACTGTGAAGTAGAGGCTTATTTCTTATAACTTGCTATATATAAGTATATATATACATATATATATATATATATATATATTTCTATATGTGCATTTTGTCATTACCAAAAGGTATCTTTCATTTCAACCCCAGTTATTTTATTTATTTGTTTGTGAGAGTGTTACACATGTACTCCTGGATTGCACCATGGAACCCAGAGTAAGTCCTCTGAGAATATCTGACAAAGTTCCTTGATTAAAAGCTTATTATTTTTTGGGGGGAGATTAAGTTAGTGTATCAAGTTGAATCATTTTAGAAAGGGCAAGATATTTTGATGATCTATTTCCACACTATCCTTATTTATAAATACCATAAATAATCCTTTTTATTGCTAAACCAAATTTTTTTTGTTTGGGCATAAGCACAGGGAGGTTCAGCCTATCAGATTACCCCGGACCTGCTATCAGCCACCTTGGCCACTGTATGGCGCCAGAATTCCTTCTGATGAAGCCAGGTGGGACAAGGAGACCAGGAAATTCAAGGAGCCAGGAGCTCAGAGCTTCCTTACTCTTGGTACTAGCCATGTCTGAAGCCAGACTTCTTTCATCTGTTGCCTTCCGAGTTACGATGATCAGATTGGCTGTTCGCTAGTCTTTCTAATGTGGTTAATTTGATTCGATTTTCTGTGACTTGCGGAATAAGAGCCCTAACTAACTCCACCAAGCTGGCAGGAGAGGCGAGGCTGCCGGTAGCTCCCGGCGCAGGGCAGGCCCACACCTTCCCGAGACACCCACCGCCGTAGTAGAGCGCTCCGAAGCCCGTGATGTACACCGTGGAGTTCGGTTGGAAGGAGTCCGAGGCTGCTGGCAGGCAGACCCGGCGGATGTCGTCGGAGAAGGGCACTTTGGAGGACAGCTGCACGACAGCGATGTCATACTCTCTGGATGGGGAGCGGTACCGCTCGTGGACAATAATCCTTTTGACGTTTCTTCTCATCAAGGGAGGGTTTATTGTTGTTCCAAAACTAACAGTCCATTGGCGTGCATTGGCGCTACTGGAAAAGTTTAGAAATTAGCAGAATATATGAACTGTGCAGAAGGTATGAACTAGATTAGAAATGACAATACTTGATTAAAACTTAAGCATGGTATATTTTTATTTTTAGTATTTGGAAGTACACAATATAGGGCACATTAGAGCTTAGATTTAATACCATATCACTATATGCTACAGCCATAAATCACACACAGTATCATTCATTTATCCCATCAGTGAATACTCATTGAGCTTCTATTTGCCGAACATCACAGTGAGCCCCACAATGGTGGGCATAAGGTGATCAAGGGGTAAGTTTCCAGTTTACAGGGCTCTTCAGTTCAAGAACACACATGCAAACACACACACACACACACACACACACACACACACACATCAGAACAGTAGAAAGGAGATACATAACTTCAGCAATAAGGATTACAAATAAAGGATTACAAATAAAAAAAAACATGTATAGAATGTATAGAGTGGAAAGTTTTTTGGTTTTTTTTTTTTGTTTTTTGTTTTTTGTTTTTTTAACAACAAACACATTTAGGCTGATGAGGACCCCATGCCAGGGGAACAAATTTACAGGCAAACATCCTGAGACCTCGGGGCCAAATGAGGTTTGATTTAGGACCCAAGGGGAAGAATGCTGGAGGATGAGGTGGAAGAGGATGAGAGCAGGGATGAGAGCATCTTCGAGGACATGACGAAGTGTTTAGAGTTAATTATGGTGACAGAGGATTCCTCTCTGTGTTCTTGAGCTGAGAGTTACATGTCTTATTTACATCTCAGGTCATGTGTGGTTCGCATTGGACACGGGGTGGTGAAGGCTATCGGAAGATGATGGCAATCATCCTCTCAGAGATGATTGAGTGCCATATGAGGATGGCACCTAGCTTGGATGACACCTAGCTTGTGTTCTGGTGCATCGCAGTACGTACAGAAATGAGATCACTGAGTAATAATGGAGATCATCAGATAAGGATTTTGTTTTCTACTTAAGGAAAATAATAGACATCTCTTTATGTGTAGTGTGAGATTTCTGCCTCCTGTCTTTGGGACCACAGAATGCATGAGTGTTTCACGGACCTTTCTAAGTGTCTCCTCCCTTGGAGGAGAATCCTTTGATGAGTGAGCTACTTGTTACCCTGGCAGGCAAGTTATGTTATTTTTCTTTTCCAGAAGCTTCCCATTTTACTCGCGGCGTATGGCATTAATCGTACTGTCTGACTTTGTGGGTTTAGTTCTTGAAAGCTTATTGAAAGGGGACACTGATAAATGCTAATCATGTGGAGCATTACCAACATGATAGGACCTGTGGAAGTTGGTGCTGCTAAAATTTTAATAGGAGAATAAAAATTTATGGTTTAGAGCTTCTCATTTATTTTATGATTGGACTGAAAAAAAATCTAGAAACAACTGTAAAGGTATTTGTAAGTGTAGAAGTACTATCACAGAACTGGCTAACTGTGGTGAAGAATCCATGAGTGAGAGGAATTCTGCCCAAGAGTAACACCCACATAAAGGGTTGTTGATTTTAGCCTATGCAGCTCATGTGGATTTGCAAACAGAGAATCTATATGAGATGGAGGGAAGGAGGATGGAGGAAGGGCAAGGAGGAATAAAAGGTCTGAGATGTGTGACGTGCATGCACCAATGCCCCACGGTGAATGTAGTCATTGTGTTCTGGGAACTTGGACTAATATGCATAAATTAAAATAAAGTATTTAATATTATAATATTAAAATATAATAAATATATTTTATTATATTGAAATTATAATAAATAAAAGACAAATTAAAAATATAAACAAGGTTGTTTGTCATACAAATTATAGTTAAGAAACTGTTGAAAAGGATCAGAGAAGTCCTTAAAGAGCACATCACACTCCACATAGTTCTTGAAGAAGTCAGTTAAGGAGGGAAAGGAATTTAGAGAAAGGGAATAATGCAAGGACAGTAATTTCCAAGAACAAAGTTAGTTTTGCAGCAAATAAAATGTAGAATATGTTGTGTAGTCAATAATGCAAATACAAAAGTCACAAAAATAAAGTATCACTGTTATATCCCTAAGGATTGTTTCTGCAGACAAATATATACATTATGACAAATGTGGAACTAAGCTTTGATGACACCACAGTAGAACAGCTTTGAGCTCTGTGAACAGCTCTGAGTCTTCAGTTACATGGACAGAAGAAATCAATATTTATGCCTATTTTCAATTCAGGATACAATGGATGTAATTACTTTAAAATTCTGTATTCGTGTACCAAGACAATGTTCAAACAGCTCACATATTTTAAAACAAAAGATAAGTATCTGAAATGATTGTAAGGTCTAAAAAAAAATTACATGGTAAGGAATAAAGAATGAGCTTAAGAAGCTACAGTCAATATATGTAGTATACATATCCTACAAAGTATTAAGTGCCTCTACATCGATTTATGCTTTTAGATATATAGATTATGATAACTAAAGATAGAACTTTGTAGGTAAAAATGACTGGGAGAATATCTCAATCATCTATTTCCAAACACACTATGGTTTGGTGACTTATTCAGGTTATAGATCCCTGACCGAACTCTCCAGCTGCCTGCAGAATTGGATAAAACTTTGGCGTTTTTGAGAAGTTAAAGGGGAAGCGGTAGGGGACTCAGGTCAACAATTTCTGACATTGCCAGTGAAGTGGAAGACCCAATACTATTATGGACTACTGGACTCTTTTAGAATATTTTGCTGAGTTAACACACCTATAATATTCAAATAATGGAACTAAACAAAAAAGGGGATATAGATGAATGTTCATTTTGTATCTGTGTATTCAAAATGCTTACGATAGATATATAGTTACATTCTCTTAAAGAATAGAGGGATTTGTCCTAGTAGTGTTTGTAAATAGGATATCATGTCTGCATCTTGTACAGCAATTAACCACTAGGAAGAGTGTATGCAAAGTGTTAATTATTGAACTGTCCTACCAATTTGATTTGAAACTGTCTCATTGTTATTTGTTTCTCAATAAAATTATGGAGAAAAAAAAAGAACACACAATAAAAGTTAAAGGGCATTCTTTAGGGTTAATGCCTTACTTTTTGAAGCAGTGTGCAGCAGTGACTAGCCACGTGTTACTGATCAAGCTGGCCCCACACTGATGGATATTATTGCGCTGAAGGGAAGCTTGCCATGGCCAGGCACCTGGGGGTGCAATTTCTCCAGACATTATTCTGTTGACTGCTAGTGGTGCAGCTCGTTTACCACAACCTAAAAGAGATGGGACTATTAAGTTACAGGAAATGTACAATTTTTGATATAGAACCTAATTGAGGACTGTAACACAGTAGTTAGAGCTACTACTGTATGAGTGTGCACTGCATCCTGTCTGTTCTCTGTATCACCAGATGAACTACTTTGCTTACAGTACACCTTTGTAGAAGTGGATGTGTGTTGCCCACTGAAGTTTTCTTAAGCTGGGAAGAACTGACATTTCACAGTCAAATCAACCCTGTAGACTTTCACTGCCAATTATGTAGTTATCCTGGGAGCTTTTACTAAGATTATTGTTTCCCACTTTCAGGTGGTCCAGAGCTGTGACCTTGACATGAAATCCTCACTAGAAGAATAACTCCTTCTGGCCTGTTTGTTCAAAACCAACTTTCTTATTTTCTTTTCTGAGTGGCTATTTTCTACTAAGTTGGATTAATGTGACACAATTAATTTATTACTCATCAGGATAAAAGACTATAAGTTTACAAGTAAACATCATGTTGTCTATTGATAGGAATAAACAAATATTTCATTATATGCATTGAACTTAAGATTCCTGCCAAGAATTAAACCTATTTAGAACACAGTATAAATTAAGAATGGTAGATTTATTCCTTGTTCCAACTAATTAAGTATCAAAAAGAAGATTCATTTTACTGGGGTGGACTACACTCCCAACACGGTATGGCCAGTGGTTTTAGAAGTTTAATTGCACTGCCACTACTCTAGTGTAGACTACTTTTTCCCTCATCTGAAAGGATAGAAGAACTTCCTGTTTCCCATCTTGCTTCCAGTCTTGCCAGGCTATTTCATTCTCCACATTGGAACCTGAGTGATCTTTCTGAAATATTTGAGCCTTTCAGTGACAGTTCACTGCTCTCCTGATGGAGCATTTCTCTGCCTTGATTACTATGAGGCACAGCTTTTCTCACAGCCACCGGCGCTGCATGCCCAGCCGTGCTGATGCCTTGTCAGCTACAAGAGATGACCACATTCTCACTTGCCTGAAGACACTTTTATGGACCGTTTCCCATGCTCAGTCACTCGCTACCAGTCACTTGCCATATGGCCTTGCCTCTGTCCTTTTTCCAGGATCAGCTTTGTCTTAGACCAGGTTAAGTTTCTTTCCTTTTCCTTTTTTTTTTTTAACAGCTTTATTGAACTAAACTTCACATGCTATACAATTTACAAATTTGAAATTCAGTAGACTTTAGCATATTGACAAGAGTTGTACAACCATGAAAATAATAAAATTTAGATCATTTTTGTTATCTCAAAGAAAATCACTCTGCTCACTAGCTAGCATGTCTCAATTGTTCCCCTGAAATCTAGGCAACCCCTGAGCTACTCTGTACCTTCACAGATCATCCTTTAATTTATATTTTTTTGCAAATAGACCATGCTAATAACAACAAAAAGAGCTTAATACATCCAAAGACATAGAAATCCTGCAAAGTGAGCTCTCATATTGTATTGGACAGCAAAAACACATCTAGATTACAACTGTCTCAGTCTCTGTCTGTCTCTGTGTCTCCCTCCCTCCTACTGTCTGTCTTTTATGTTGCACATTATTTACCTATTAACTTTTTCCTATGAGGGAAATTACGTGATGTTCAAACTTGTGTGTCTGATTTACTTCCCTCCTCAGTGTGGTCTTTTATTGATGCTCACAGCACTATGTACTTTCTCTGTCAGAACATGTACCACACTGCTGTAGTACAAATTTATTCTGTCCTTTCCTACATTGAAATTATACTTTTGAATACAATAAGATATTATTCACAATGGTATGAACAGCTCCTGACATACTCCTGGTACTTGGTAGGTATTAAAGGATATTTGTTGAATGAATAATGAATGAATGACAAGTACATAACAACTACTGATGAAAGGTGTTGTTATTTTCTTTCAAAATGCAGGCTAAAACAAATTGAAGTCAGCTATGAATATGAGACTTTTAAGTATGCTTTGATTAGCCAGTATTATATAATGGGGTACATCACTGCCTCATTATCATTTTCGCATTATTTTACTTCTTTGCAGAAATCACATTTCATAGAATCTTTAAAAATTATGGGAAACAAGTCTATTTATGCCAAACCAGAAGTATACACACTCTTTAAGTTTCCTCAGAATTATCACCATGGAAAATGCTTATTTTAATGCAAATTAAAATCAGTTTTAGAAATAGAATTTCTTTTGTTCAATTACGCTTTCCCAAGGAAAATGTGGGACATAAAAGGGAAATTATAGGCTGATCTTTGAAGATATCTTTGCTGATGTGGAAATTGAACTTATTTATGTAGGCTAACTAGACTTACATGCTTGGAAAGTTAGCTTTCCTGTTGATGAACTCATGGCTGAAAAACAAAATAAAGAATGGTAATTTGAGATTTTTTATTACTCGGTCTCTATGACCAGGAATTATCAGAGGACAGTGACTATGGATTCTGGATGGTGTAGATCAGTCAGGAGTAGAAACCTGTGTGTTCATTTTGTAGAGATCGACAGGCAACCTCCAGTAAGGTGGGTAACGTCTCAAGCAGCATGTCAGACACAAACAGCGCACAGAGTTTTCATTTATGAGCTGTGTTTACTCAATGGTGCAGGGCAAAACCTTTTCAGATGCCACAGCAGGTGAGAAGAAAGAGAGAGGAGCAGATGGCCTCTGCAAACAGGTCTGCTGAGGACTTCACAGAAGCCTCTGTGTGTGTGTGTGTGTGTGTGTGTGTGTGTGTGTGTGTGTGTATGTGAAGGGATTTAAGATGAAAAACTAAAAATTATCACCTAAATTATTTCTAATGCATAGTTTCTAAACATCAAGATGATTTAAGGGTGAAAGATTTATATGATCTGAAGAGAAACCAGAGTATGATCAAGATGATTTGAAGAATAAATTGAGAGATATTTTTATCTAACCTCCACTGAATATTGGTAAGAGTCAATTATTAAACAACATTTAGTATCAAATCTGTCAATTTCCAACAGTTAGGAAGCCGATGAAGGGAAACAAAAACATTTAAACTTGTACACATATGTATAAATATAATGCACTCAGAATGTATACAACTTTTGTCAATTTTAATTCATGGAAGAGAAAAAACAGATCTGAAGGTTATGTGGAAACTGTATTGGATGTCAGGTTAAAAAAGGCCGAGTGAGCAAATAGTAATGACTAGCTCTGTTCTGTCAGTGCCGTATTTCTCAGACTTACATTTGAGCATCCCATTCCCCCTGGTTTCCCCCAAAGTAAGTTTCATCTTAACTTTCTGTAAATTACACATGGGAATTTAGCTACAATGAACATTTTGATGTGGGAATTTTGCAAAATATTCAATTCAAAGACACCCATGCCAAATTTCAAAGTCCCTGCATGGCGAAGAATCAATTGCTGAAAACATATTCCCAGTGCTTACCCTATAGGAGGTGTTCAGTTCTCTGTCAAATGTAACTTAAGGCAGTAAATGCCTGGCTTCATTAATTGTTTAATTTGTTCTTAGTAGTGGAAAGCAGCATAATATTAAAATTCTTGAGTTAAAGCCTTATCTACTTCGTTGCAGCAAGATGCAAGTGATGCACTCTCAAGAGGGATACCAGAGTAAGTGTAATGGCAATAATTATAACTGGATTTTCATTTATCTATCTATCTATTTATCTATTGCATTTTTTATTTTTTACGGGTCTCACTACATAGATCGGACTTACAGTAACCCGCCTGTGTTCAGCCTCCCATAGAGCTGGGATTACAGGCGTGCGCCACCACGATCAGTCTCAATTGCCCTCTCAGCATGCCCTGGGGGTGGGGCCGACAAGGCATGACAGAGATTGAACCCTGCTGCTGTGTCTGCCTAAACAAGTGCTTTAATCCACTGAGCTATTTGGCTGGCCCTCTTATTGGATTTTTAGAATTGGATTTTTAGGGAAAACGAGCATACTTAGAGGTAAACTACCAATAGACTAAAAATTATTTTATAATATTTCTGGTTCTTACAGCATTTTTAGTTCCCAGGCGCAGAAGTGAACAGAAATACTAATAATGCTTCCATCTTGAAGGTGGCTGTACCTCACTACTTCTGAGTTGTAGCGACTGAGTTACTGTTCAGTTTTACCTGCTGCAAATGCCCGGTGGGAACAGGGCCTTCAGCACTTACGTGGAGGGCCCACCATGGCCGGCGACTTTTTTTAAGTATGTATCTTTTATCAGTACATGATTGCAGTACATAATGATTACCTTTGTCGTGGAGAACTCATACCTTCACATAACAGACCTTTTCTTCTCTTCTGTCTTCTTCCCTTGCTCCCTGCAACTCTTGGTGTCTTTACCATTTGAAAATGTTGTATTTCCATTTTTTCTTCCATTCACCTTTTAAACACTTTTTCCCTTTCTCCCCTCATCTTGTTCTCTGTTTCTCTCTTGAAAAAACTCTCCGTGTCTTATCATGTACCCTTTATTTTGCTCTTCTGCACTGTGCAGAAGTTGATGTTTGCTTTGCTTTGACACATTGCATCTAGCGAGGACCTGTCTCATATAGTTATTCCTCAAAACAAAACAGTTCCTTGATAAATTATGGATGAATCTTTAACTATGTGTTACTTGCAGGCTTGACCTAGCATCTCTATTGTATTAAATTTCTATGTTTTAGAAGTTCCGAGATTCTGCATTTCTTTGGAACAATATTTTTGCCTGCTTAAGAATTGCCTTAAAGATGCTACTCTAAGGGCCTTTCCTGAATACTAGTAAACACCATAGATTTGAAAATTCTGGAGCCTTCAAGACTAGTTTATTCTGCTACCAGTCACTCTCCCTAAAGGCTTCAGGTTTCTGAAGCACATGCACAATTTAATGGCTTCATATGTAATCATGTTCTCTATGTTCACTTTATGCTTTCTATCTTCTTGTGCATTCTCACAATAGTCCTGTTGTTTCAGGAAGCATAAACATTATTAATGCATTTTGCAGATGGGAAAATGGGCCCCAGGGTGTGGGCCAATTATCCGGGTCCTGCTGTGACTCAGTGGAGTTAGAATTAAGTTCCTCTTAAATCAGGTTCTCCATCTGCACACCTGAGCTTTTGATCTACCAGTCTCTAAAATAAAGGGACACTCATAAACTCAGCCCAGAAGATACAAGACCAGACACCTGATGACTATTTCATGCTTCTTTTCTAGTTTCAGATAGTTCTGGCTTTAAAATTCCTAGAAGATTTATTCATTATTGGCAATTATGTATAGTAAACCCTGTAACTTATCAGAATGGCCACTATTTCACCATCTAGATCCAAGTGCCTTGCCACCTTACAAAGCAGGTGGATTAGCAGTTGACAGGTTACTCCCTCCTGTTGGGAGAGGTCCACAACTGCACTCCCTGAGTAGCTGACAGTCACCTCAGCAAACTTCTCCCTGTCCCATGACCTCAGAACCTCACTTCCTGCTGAGGTTTCCCTGTGAGGAGTCAGCTAGACCCTTGGGAGGCTGGGCGTTTCATGTCTGATATAATTCACTTGCTCTGACTCTCCTAAATCTGGTATGCCTTGGCATTTGTAGGAGAAACCTGTCCTTGGTTGCTTACTGGAAGTAGATGCTGAGGAAGCAGTTTAGTGTACAAGGGTAAACAGGTTTCTGTCTAACCAGATTCCTCATAATCTCTAGCATACTAATGTAGGAAATGGATTTCCAGGAGCACAATATCATAGAACTTATAAAATCTGTTTGAATATACAGCCCCTTTTTAAAGTCTGTCAAGAAATTAGAGATCTAAGCTCTTTTTAATTGTTAGATTTCCTACTAATTGATTACTGCATCTATGAAGTTGAAGTTTTATACTTCATTGGAATATGGCAATTTATAAACTGTGTGTAGAGAGCATAGCAGTGGGGCTCTGGTAAATGTTATTTCACTGCAGTCAAGGCTAGTGATGGTAGTGTAAGGAGCTAAGGGCACTCTGTAGAGAGGAAAGTGGAATGATGGGTAAGTGATTCCAGGAAGATTTTTCCTAATTTAGTGAATTTTAAAGCATTATTTATCTGATGGCTTCAAACTTGGTCTACCATTTTCTCAAATGCCCATAAAAAAAGCTAACAAAAACTTCATCTCATGATCATATGTAAATCTATCCTTTGTGTGTATGTATGTGGGTAGGTAGGCTATTGGGGAACAGACTTGAACTCAGGGCCTTGAACATGATGGCAGACACGCTACCACTGAGCTGCAGCCCTTTTAATGCTAAGGTAAGGTCTTACCTCATTGCCTAGGCAGGTTTCTAACTTGCCATCTTCCTGCCTCAGCCTCGTGAGTAGCTAGAATTGCAGGCCAGCACTACCACACTCAGTCAACCCATACTTTGTAAGGTAATAAGGGTGGTGGGTTTTTTTGAAGGTCCTCTCATGTAACATGTTGCTTAACCACTGGCATTTTCACTTGCTTAATCATGGAGGCAGTGGCTAGGTCCGATTAACCCTCTGTTGGTGATAAATGCTTGCCCTTATTTTGGGATGAATGTCAGTCAACTACTTTTGGAAAAATCACTTGATATGCCAAACATGTTCTCATCAGGAAGTAAGAAAACCTAGATTATCACTTCTTTTTAAATTGGATTTTTCCATATTAATTCTATTTGTGCTTTTTAAATTTTTGTGGTGCTGGAACTCTAGCTCAGGTTCTTGTGCATGCTAGCAAGTGTCCCACCAAACCGAGCTTCATCCCCAGCCCTCCTCTGTGAGTTCTAGTTAGTATTTGGAATGAAAATAATGCCAGGTGAGTTTGTGATTACACAAAACATGGACTTAATGGAGAACTTCATATCCCATAGAAAGCCACGTACTTACCGTTAACTTGAACTGATGAGACATTTATTGGCAGAGCTCTTGCGTTCCTTATCTTCCGATTCAAGATGCTATGGATTTCCTTCTCTCTCACTGTCCTCTGTCCAGGGGATGGGGACTGGAATACCATGATGATGTCTGCTGTCACACTCTCTCCCTTTGGACTGTGACACAGAAAGGAAGGTACATATTCAGGAGGGGACCTACCTAAAACATCACTTTTCTCTTGCACATAAAATATTCAAAAAAAGCAATAACATATAATCTTCCAGTCTCCTCCAGATGAAATATGCCCAGTATCTTGAATTTTCAATATAAACAGGTTCAACTTCCTTCACCTTTGGAATTGAATTTTTATATATCTTTAAAATAGAAAAATCACTATTAAAAGTTCTTATCAAATTTAAATGGATAAAATGTTTAAGCTACTGAATCTTTTAGGTACACAAGGAAATCATATCAATTCTGAGATATTTTAGTTATTGCAACTCATTTAGATTCTGGGATATGGAGATATACACAATCATAACTTAATATTTAACTGACATACAGAAAACGTTAAATAACAGTAATCAGCACTGGTCACCAGATAGACTTTCTCTGGACCCCAAAAGAATTATATAATGATAAAAGCTATAAGCCCAAAGTAATCCTTAAAATTATGATAATGTTAGGACATTTTGTTGAATCAGAATTTGAAAATAGAGGGCATGAAATACAGAAAGTTCAAGAGTTTACATGCTTTTATATCATCTCTGAAATAATCCTAATACTATTAGAAAAGCCTGATGAAAGTTGCTAATTATTAGTAAAAATATGAAGAACTTTAAATTCTAAGTAAATCTGCCAGTAAGGCATCAGCAGACCGTTGGGCAGAAAAGTGCTTGTTATTTCCTTCCAATAAAACCATGTCTTAACACAGTCTTTTTCTTTAAGGAGAGGAGTTCAGGTCCATACAGGCGCGTGTGTCTGCATCTATGACATATGCGCTGTGCTATGTGACTTTCAAAATAACACTACTGAAATTTCTGAGCAGTTGCTGCCACTGATAGGAGTCTCTCCTTCAGTACAACCAAAAAAAAAAAAAAAAAAAGACTTCTTTCAGCAGGAACATCTTTTTGTCTGGGCATGCCTCTTGTCACCAGGGCTTCAGAACATGTACAACTTATGATTTCATTTTGTAGCCAATTTTGCCTTCTTAGTACTTTTGAAATGACACACCTGCTGAAAATTATATAACTTTCTGCATGCTGTTGATTTGCCTATGGCTGTGAACTTCCATAGATTTGAGGCCTAAATTCTAGGGCGTCACAACCAGTTGATGGAGTTTGGTTGTGTTTATGTGACTTGGTGTAACTGTCGCTTTGGAATCCAATACATCACTTACCCTCAGGCTCAAATTACTGAATATTTTTAAAATAAAAAAAAATGGTGGCCAGCTTTGTGTCTGGAGACTGCCGTGGAGGAAGGCTGATGATAATCCCAGCCAAGGGGAAGTTCATAGGGATATAACATATAAAGGTCCCTTTATCCCTTGCCCTCTGTCCTGCAGGGTCATTACCACCTTTGCCCAAACATACGTACGTCAGTCTGACTACTTGATTCTTGATATAGTGCTTGTTTAGGGCAGAATCAGTAAATATCTCATCCACCTGTTGTTACAAAAACAAAGAAACTGTGTTAATGAGATGTTTTATAATAGGACCATATTACTGAACATATAAATGTTAAAGCAATAGGAAATGTTTTTAAAGTAGTAATACATTTGAATCGGCAGTTCTTAACCTTCACAATAGAACAGATTTCTTTGCTAAATTGAAAACATATTACACACTCTCAAGCTCCTGTCTTGGGTTTTTGCTTTTAAAAGATCAGATGAGGATCAAGGCACTCATATTTTAAAGAATCTCCTCCGGGACTTCTGGTATCTGATGCAGGTGTTCGGTGTCAAGACATCATCTGAACATTTTATAGACTGGGGCTTTGAGAAGCAGTGAGCAGAGCCCTGACTCTATCGCGGGTTTGATCCCCTTCTGTTGCTCGTGAACCGGGAGCCTTGGAAAGGGTGCTGAGAAAATTTGAGCCTTAGTTTCTGGGCTTGAGAAACAAAGATACTGACACATTATGAAACTAGAAGGACTGAACACAAAAGGGGCTGAGTGCGTTTTTATGGACACTCGCTGGTGGGTCTCTAGCTCTCCTAGTGGCGTTGTAAGTCTTAGTTTTCTTCTAATATCTTTAAGGGAGCTCTAAGGCACAAGGTGAATGAGTTAGGAATTTAGGCAAGACAAAGATTTTTAAATTGCTGTGGATTGTGGACTCTTTAGTAAATCAGGAAGAAATAAAGAAAGAGTGCAGTAATGTTGAAATATCCAGCCAAAGTTATGGTACTCCTGTGTGAGGCCCAGGAAGAAGAGGGAACACAACTGCTCCTGGACATCCGGCCAGTTTTAATTGTTGGGCACAGATGGGCGTGCTGTCACCTGTAACCCAGAATTTTCCCCCACAGAATCCCCTCATAGCCACTTGGTGGCAACAGCATCATCAGAGTACAGGTCTAGTCATTCCTGTTGAATAGATGACCTGAATGTGAAAAGTAAATAAATCAATCCTGAGAGAAGGGAAGGAAAACCAACTCTTATTACACACACACACACACACACACACACACACACACACACACCACCACCACCACCATTTCATTGACTAAAGAATAAGTTATAACTTCTTTAGCTCGATCAGAAATTCATAGATTTTCATTGGGCACTGAAATATTTGTTGCCTAGTTTAGCCCTCATGATAATCCTGTGAAGCAAGAATTATTTTGATTTCTGTTTTACTAAAAGATGATACTGAGACTCAGACATTTCGTGAACTTGCAGGATTCATGAGGATAAAAATCAACTGATACTCAAATCTAGGTCTTCTCTCTGTAAGGTCTGTATCCTTTCCACTCAGTTACCCTGTCTCCTTGTTAGTGTGATGCAAATTTTGTTTCCATTTCTTTCTTGAAACATAGCAACAGATTTTCAAATAATTGATTTAGAGATAAGTTAGTATAATAATTATAAAGATATATATTTGGTAATAGCCTTAAACATAAGATATGGGGCAACATTTAAGAAATAGGTAAGTTATTATTATCCAAAATGTACTTTTATCTGTACTTAAATAAGGAAATCCAAAATTTGGCAGTTTAAATTTATGTGCTAGAAATGAAATTATTTTGCAGGATATATATATATATATATTTCCCAAGGTAGCACTGTTGTAATAATTTCTTGTTACCTGATTCCTATCTAGCGGGTAAGTCCAAAATAAAAGAAAAGGGAAACCAAAAGAAAAGGTAAGAAAAGTGGCAAGCTTTAAAAGAAAAATAAACAGGAACTGGTTATTGAAGGAAGTCTGGTTTGTACGTAGTCCCCAGGTAGGATACACTCAAAACTGACCATGGGTGGATGCCAGTGACTTGTTGGTGAAGGGGCAGGAGTAAGGATTTGGCTCTGTGGGTGACAGTGTGCACCTAGTGCTGTGCCCGCCTGAGTGGCTGGACCTGGCTTTAGCTCTGTCTTTCAAAGTCTTGATTCTCTGGGAAGGTCAGTGTGAGTACCATAGGTGAGAGGTGCTTCTTTCTCACTGAAATTCCAACACCCCTCTGTAACTCAACCTCATTAATGAAATCTGGGATTAGGCTTACCCAGGGGTCTTCAGGCAATCCTACAGAGAGGCCTTTGAGGAAGGAAGGACAGCAATTTGTAAAAAGGCTTCCTGTGCTAAGGAATATAAAAGAAAACATGAACAGCAACTATTGCTGAATGGAGCTTACGTATAAATGAACTTTCTTGAGACCCAGAAATTATGTTTCCTGGCATATTAAGATTTATATCATAGAAGTATTTTTTTTCACTCACTTTGATGGCATTCCAAGTTCCCAGCAGTTTTGGAGAATGCTTTTTGAAAATTCAAATCTGTAAATCAGTTTACTATAAATGTACTTTTCCTTGCATCACCTAAGAGGCCTAGAGATGTACATCTCACTTGTACCTTGCACTCTCGGGCAACTGTAGAGTCTTCTCTTTGGAGTTGGTTTCCTTATACTGAAAAAAGAACCCCTTCTGAGGGCAGCGCCTCTTTCTGCAGGATGATTTTGAAATGCTGAGAGTCGGACTGAGCTCAAATTCTATGAGGGCAATTAAAGGTTAGCTCAGTGTTTAATATAAGAGGTAGAGAGAGGTTGACAACTCAGATAAGCAACTGGCACCCAGCCATCTGCTCTCCTTCCCCAAGCAGCTGTCGTTTCCCAAGTTGCTGTCTTTCTCTCTCAGCTCCTCTCAGGCTATAACAGTCTCTTCAGCATTCCCACCACGGGTGGTGCTAGGTCTTCAGCTTCCTGTGCTAGTGAAGACTGGCAGCGGGAGCTTGAAAGTCCTAGATCCCAGTGTAACACCAGTGGAGCTCCGAGAGCTGACGAAGACAACTCATGGAAACTCCAGATCTGGTTGCCTTCCCTTAATTATAATGAGATACACACAAAGGATGGAAAGAAAATACTTTCTAAAGCAACCTTAATCTTACCTCAGACTTCACTGAAGTTACACCACTGGATGGGCTGAAGTCACAGGAGAAACTCAAGGGAGAGTGCATGAAGTTGTATTTGAGCCTCTTTTCAGTGTCTGTTTCTGGTCTGCCTGCTAAGTCTTCCGCACCCCAGAACCTTGCCTCGCACTCACATTTTCCTGCCCATGTGCTCCTCGCAGGGATGCCTTTACTCTGTGATACCCTCCTCTACCCTATTTTACTAGCTGTGCTTTTCCACACCAAGTTATCCTTCTCTATTGACTGTAGATATTACCTCCTGATAATCTGAGGACAGGTCTTTGTCCTCAGATTAACTTCTCCTCTCTAAGCTTTTTATCTTTCTTGCAGCTTCTACTCCTTAGCTTAGTTATTTATGTAAATACAGTGTTTCCTTACTAAACCGCAAAGCTTCTGTGTGCAGAGATCGTGATTTACATTTCTGCACTCCACAATGTCAGCATGGATCTTTGGGTGCAATAAACAGGCAACGTGTTTCTGTTCAATGCCTGAGTGAATAAAAGGAAATGAAGATATCTTCATCAGAAAGCCTCATATTTGCCAGGAAACTTTTACCATAGTTTTTAAGATACTTTGTATAAAAGCTGGTAGAGAAAAACAAAAGAAAAGTGCATGTGAGTTATGCAAAGGGAGTCTTGTCTTCTTGTGGTTGTTTCCAGGAGATTGTTTCCTTGTGGAAAGCTCTTATGGCATGAGGATAGACTCTTGCTAAGGACAAGAATAATTGCCACCATTGTGTGTCAGCTGTTCACCAAGTACGAACTCCCTTGTCTTTGAGCTCATTTGCTTTTCATACCAACCATTTGTAGTGAACACTGTTATTATCCATATTATATGGATGAGGAAGTGAATTGCCCAAGCTGGCAGCAGTGAGCCATAGGCCGAGGACTGGAGCCAAATCCTCCAACTCCAGAACCTCCTTCTGTCCTCTTAATACTGACCTCCTGTAAGCTCAAAGGGAGGCCCTGCGCCCCCTAAAGGACCAGAAGCTGCAGAGCCAGCTCCAAAAATATGAACATCATCTCAGTAACCTTTATTGAAATCTGTTATGGTTGTCACCGAATCTATTTCAAACTCTAGTTATGTTGGATTTTTGAAGTCAGAGGTGAGTTAACTATCGCAAGCCTGAATAGAGGATGGCTCGCCTGAGTGCTGGGTGCTGACCAGTCCCCCACAGCTCTGAGCCAGCTGCTGTGTCTGCCCGTGAGGGTAGTTGGATCTGATGTCATGTGGGGCTTGCGGTGTGGTGCCATGCAAGTGGACTTTCAGATTACTCTAAACCAGGAGGTCATGAAATCAGCCCACCAAGTGAGATATTTCGTGAGGTTTCCTGTCAGTCATTTTTTGATTATACTTGTCCTTGTTCAAC